AAGGTTATCTGAACCATCGTTGTAATAATTCCGATGCAAATTCTGGTTTGGTAAGCCGGAAAGTGTTGGACGAGAATATCCCCGACATATATTTCGTATATATCAATACTTGTTTAGATAGACTCGGTTGGGATCTTCTCCTTATTTTGCTAGGTTTTGTTGTTGTCTCTAATGTACATATACGTGGTTTCGGGTTTCAATACGACACAAGCTTTTTCCCAGCTTTCGATCACCATTGTGATATGGTATCAGAGCCTAGTTGCTTTCCGGCCAAACTCCTTTCGAAGTTCTTCACGGGCGGAAGCCAGATTATAGTCACTTACGTACCATTGGTTGCTTGTGCTATGCTCACAACAAGAACCACAACGGAGATAAGTTCGCTCCTCGGGGTATCCGTTGTGTGTTCGTAGGCTATCCTTCGGGCAAGAAAGGCTAGCGGTTGTTTGATCTCGAGACACGTCGTTTCTTTGTCTCCCGCGACGTCATTTTCTGCGAAAGCCAGTTTCCGTTCTTAGCTTCCACCGATGACCTTCCCCCGACATCGTGTACTACCTCACCTAGGTCGGAACCTTTTCCTCTCGCTGATGATGATCCTGTGATGGCTCCAGCCCCTGTATCGTCATCTGCACGCCTCGACTCTGCTGATAATATTGTCGTTCCATCTGAGAACTCTTCTCGTTGTTCGTCTGCCGAGGTATCTGACATAAGGGGGTAACTTGACTTCGTCTCTTGCTGTCGATGAAGAACTTGGCCGTGGAAAGCGTTTGAAAATTTCGTCCACACGTCTAAGAGATCACGTCACGAACACCGTCGTTCTTCTTCCTCGTCCCCATACTCACTCGACCATCGGCTATCTTCAGGTACTCCTTACCCTATTACACAATTTGTTGGTTGTTCTAAATTTTCTCCGACTCACCAGGCGTTTCTAGCCGCGTTGTCTGAGGAGGCCGAACCACGTTCCTATAAAGCTGCCATGCAGGATCTGAAGTGGAAAGCCGCCATGCAATCCGAGATAGATGCCTTGGAGAAGAACCGCACTTGGACTATCGAATCTCTTCCTCCGGATAAGAAAGCCATTGGATGTCAATGGATTTTCAAAATTAAGTATCGTTCGGATGGTTCGATTGAGCGACACAAAGCTCGTTTGGTGGTTTTCGGTACTCGTCAAGTCGACGAGTTGGACTATGGTGAGACTTTTGCTCCGGTTGCTAAAATGGTCACCGTTCGGATTTTCTTGGCTGTGGCTGCCGCACGCCGATGGGAGATTCATCAAATGGACATCCACAACGCGCTCTTACATGGCGATCTGCGTGAGGAGGTATTTATGCGTCTTCCACCCGGTTTTGAGTCGCACGGGCCTGATCAAGTTTGTCGTCTTCAGAAATCCCTCTATGGGCTTCGTCAAGCTCCACGATGTTGGTTTGAAAAGCTTCGTTCGTCTTTGGAGAATTATGGATTTCGTCAGTCTCAATTCGATCACTCGTTATTCACCTTCCACGATGGTCACATTCATCTATGTGTTCTCGTTTACGTCGACGACTTGATTATTTCTGGTAATTCATCTGTTGCTTTACACGCATTCAAACTATACTTGAGCTCTTGTTTCCACATGAAGGATCTTGGTCACTTGAAGTACTTCCTCGGTCTCGAAGTTGCTCGCAATGACACCGGTATCTACGTCTATCAACGCAAATACGCTCTTGATATCATATCGGAGGTTGGATTACTCGGTTGCAAGCCTGCCCAATTTCCTCTGGATCAGAACCATCGTCTATCTCTCTCGGACAGTCCCTTCATCGCCGATCCCAGCCGCTACCGTCGATTGGTAGGCAGACTCATTTATCTCGTCGTCACTCGTCCCGAACTCTCGTACTCTGTGCATATACTGTCGCAGTTTATGCAACAGCCTCGCCAAGATCATTGGGATACCGCTTTACACGTCGTTCGCTACCTAAAACACGACCCTAGCCAAGGTATTTTGTTTCGCTCCGATTCTGACCTTCGGTTACGCGGTTGGTGTGATGCTGACTATGCAGGCTGTCCTCTTACATGTAAGTCTTTGAGCTGGTGGTTCATTCAGCTCGGATCATTGCCGGTTTCTTGGAAGACGAAGAAACAGTCTGTCCCCTCTTTGTCGTCCGCCGAATCTGAGTATAGGGCCATGAGGCTCGCTACATGTGAATTGTTGTGGATCAAAAGTATTCTTTCATCCTTTGGAGTCGATCATTCGGATCCGATGATGTTATTTTGTGATAGTCAAGTAGCATTACACATTGCGTCCAACGATGTTTTTCACGAACGAACCAAGCACATTGAACATTGAAGTAGATTGTCATTATCTTCGACAGCATCTTGATCACGGGAACATTGTCACGCAACATGTCTCAACTCAGGAGCAATTAGCCGACATCTTTACTAAAGCCTTGGGCAAGAAGGAGTTCGCTTGATTCATCGACAAGTTGGGTTTGTTTAGTCTGCACTCACCAACTTGAGGGGGGTATTGGACGAGAATATCCCCGACATATATTTCGTATATATCAATACTTGTTTAGATAGACTCGGTTGAGATCTTCTCCTTATTTTGATAGGTTTTGTTGTTGTCTCTAATGTACATATACGTGGTTTCGGGTTTCAATACGATACAAGCTTTTTCTCAGCTTTCGATCACCATTGTGACAGAAAGAAACCCCATACGGTGAAGAATCTTGTCATAGCCTTAAAATAATGTATCCACGTCCAGAAAGGTGGATGCATGTATACTTGTCTTGGATTAAAATACAAATGTGAAGAGAGGCTTTTAAACGAATTTTTTCGATCTTTGGATAGATATAAGATTATAAAAAAAGAGTTGATTACATGTATATCCCATTCGCCCATTTGCAACAGAGCTCGTTTTTTTTTAACGAATCAAACCAATATTTTCCAGATTTATTTGGAAATGAGCCTAACCAGTGCCAACTTGCCACAACTGCGAACCCGATGACGTAGTTTGACGAGTCACGAGCACTCCAAGGTATTTTTCTTAAAAAAATTATGTATTTTTTATACTTTTATTTGTATTTTATATACTTTTTTATAAAAAAAAAGAATCGCCGTAAAATACCTGTAATTTTCTCTAATCTCAATTTAATACCTGTACTTTTTTAATTACTAAATAATATCTGTATAATTGGTTTTTCTCCAACTAAACCCTATACTTTTAAATTATTGGTCAAAAAATACACATCATCAAAAACCGCCACGTAGACAAACGGAAATCCTACGTGGCGGCGAAATTCTCAACTTCTCTCCTAATCATCGCGCCATGTCATCGTCACATAAGAAATTAAATAAAAATAAATAAAAAAATAAATTACTTAATAATAATAATAATTAATCAATTAAATAAATATCATAAAATAAATAATAAATATATATATACACATACACATATATATACATATATGTATTTACACATACGTATATAAATATATACATACACATATATACATATATATACATACATATAAAAACACATATATATACCATATATAAATATATATATACATACACATAAATATACATATATATGAATAATAAAAATATACATATACATACACATACACATACACATATATATATACACATGTACATATACATACATATATAAATATACACATCCACACATATATATACATATATATACATACATACATATACATTCGCATATATATACATATACATTATACATACACATATATATACATATATACATATGCATAATATCAATACACATACACATATATATATATTAATACATATATATAACGTACATATATATATATATACATACATACATATACATTCGCATATATATACATATACATTATACATACACATATATATACATATATACATATGCATACACACATATATATATATACATACATATACAACACATACACATACATATATAAATAATATATATACATATACATGCTATATATATACATACATATAAATATATAAATATATGTATATATATGTATGTGTATGTGTTGTATATGCATGTAAATCTATATATATGTGTGTATGCATATGTATATATGTATATATATATATATGTATGTATAATGTATATATATATATGCGAATGTATATGTATGTATATATATATATATATGTACGTTTATATATATGTATTAATATATATATATATGTGTGTGTATTTATATGTATGTATATAAACATATGTATATATATGTGTATGTGTATGTATATGTATATTTTTATTATTTATATATATGTATATTTATGTGTATGTATATATATATATATTTATTTATGGTATATATATATATATGTGTGTGTTTATATGTATGTATATATATGTGTATGTTATATACCTATGTATATATGTATATATATATATGTATGTGTATATATATATATTTATTATTTATTTTATAATTTTTATTTAATTAATTAATTATTATTATTAATTAATTTATTAATTATTTATTTTTTATTTATTTTTTATTTATTTTTTATTTAATTTCTTACGTGGCGATGACATGGCGCGATGATTAGGAGAGAGGTTGAGAATTTCGCCGCCACGAAGGATTTCCGTTTGTCTACGTGGCGGGGATTTGACGGTAGGTATTTTTTGGCCAATAATTTAAAAGTATATGATTTATTTGGAGAAAAACCAATTGTACATGTATTATTCAGTAATTAAAAAAGTACATGTATTAAATTGAGATCAGGAAAAAGTACAGGTATTTTACGGCGATTCTCCCTAAAAAAAAATAAATACTTAATTTAAATTTTATTGATTATATATGTATAATTTTTGTATATATTACGTATGTATAATATTTACATTTTATATTAAAACATCATTTTATTTTATATTTTTTATAATATAAATAAAAATATTATAGTTATTTATAATTTGCGAGTCAATATGTAATATATAAAGAAATTAAAAACAAATTAGAAGCTTATTAAAATTTCAACAATTGAACAGACAAAAGCCACTGAATCCGGAAAAACTTCAAATGGTACACATAATTTCGAAAGTTCTGAATGTGAAAGTAGACAAAAACAGAAACCCTAAATATACAGCCTAGCTGCAAGTATACCCCTTTCGAGAGTTGCCAAGTCTTCTTAACACCAAACCCTAACCAACCCACAAAGCTTTACAAACCCTAACGCCGAAGAGGGTTCTTGAAGCAATGTCGTAAGGGTTTGTTTTGGAGGGATATATAACCAAAAAAAAATGGTAAGAAAAGATCATACTGGAACTGATTTCCCAGTGAGGGCATCATGAAGATGCAATGAACCATCCTTCAGCAAGTTGACGCTTAGGCTTTTGAATCTCTCTCTTGAGTATTGTCTAGACGCCTTTCTCCAGTCGGTTCCTGCTTTCATCATTGCTACGAATTCATCGTAGTTTATGCGCCCATCCTGGGAAACAAACATCCCGATAACATTCTCAGAAACACGTTCTACGATCCTACATTGACTAAGAATGTGTCACGGTTTGTTTCATATCAGTTTGATCGGTGGTACTGCACAGTTATGGGAATCATATAAGCTAAGATTGCGGGATTGAAAAGAAGGGTATGTGTAAAGTTTGGAATAAACCTTGTCAGTGTCAACTTCACGCATTATGTCATTTAGGACATTGTCGTCTGGTTCGTCTGCTCCATGAGCTAAAGCTTCCTGCAGTTCATCCATTTCGATGTACCCGCTACTGTCTATGTCGAAGAACATAAAAGCTTGCTTGAGATGTTCATCGTTCTCCATCTTTTGCAAGTGGAAAATCACTGCGACGAATTCACCGTAGTCCAGGAACCCATCCCCATCAACATCGGCCTGCATCAAAATTATGTGACATTCAGCTGAGCCAGTGAGGGAGAAAGCTTTTGTCTCTCATTTAGACGACACAGAATAAGAGCCAGATATCGGGAGGTCGTAATGCGGGAGAGGTAATGGGGAAATTACCACTTCCATCAACATTTTGATCTCTGGTTCACCCAGTTGTGAACCGACCTTGCTGAGTCCAGCTCTGAGTTCTGTGTAGGCTATTCTTCCATCATTGTCGTCATCCATCAATGTAAACATGTTCTTGATCACTTCAACCTCCTGAAGGGACAAGTGCTCGGCAATCACCTGGAATCATTACAAGGATTAGACCATTCACAAAACGAATCAATAAATGGACAGAACGTCACCCGGAAAAGAAACACAATGCTTACTCTGAGAGCTTTCTTTTTGAATCTATTCATCACGGAGAACTGCTTCAACCTTGACCTCACGATATCTCCTAAAGGAACATTTGGAGCTTTCTTTGCGTTATGTATCCAAGGGTGCTCTGAAAAGGAGGAAAACAGAGCCCATCAACGGAAAGAATACAAACAAGCATTCTTAACAAAAGTCCAAAGAAAACCGTGAATTCTCGTTGCAAAAATCACCGTCCTAATTCTAGTTAACGTCTGTAATTTTCAGCCCAACACAAGTACAAGCCTTGGAACATAACAACAACTTTACCACGGACTTGCTGAGCAGTCAAACGTTTAGTCGGATCCGGGTCCAACATCTGCCTCACGAGGCTCTTAGCACTCTCCGATATCTGGGGCCACGGTTCTCTCTTGAAATCAAGCACTCCCCTCAAGATTGCAAGGGCAACACCTTGTTCAGTCTCTGCAAGTCCAAAACCCGACATCATTCATCTATCCAACAGCGTTTTAAACTTCTATCTTTGAAGAGCTGAAAATACCCACCGGCCCAAAACGGAGGAACACCGCAGAGCAAGATGTAGACAATCACACCAGCACTCATTTGTTATGAAACCGAATGAACCGTTCCCGAACCGTTCCCGAACCGAACCGTATGAATACCGAACCAAAATTCGAATATTCCACTAATATATATGTAAATATTATAGTTTGTTACTTATTTGGTATTCATATAATGGTGTCGTTCCGAACCGAACCGTTCATGTATTATTCAGTAATTAAAAAAGTACATGTATTAAATTGAGATCAGGAAAAAGTACAGGTATTTTACGGCGATTCTCCCTAAAAAAAAATAAATACTTAATTTAAATTTTATTGATTATATATGTATAATTTTTGTATATATTACGTATGTATAATATTTACATTTTATATTAAAACATCATTTTATTTTATATTTTTTATAATATAAATAAAAATATTATAGTTATTTATAATTTGCGAGTCAATATGTAATATATAAAGAAATTAAAAACAAATTAGAAGCTTATTAAAATTTCAACAATTGAACAGACAAAAGCCACTGAATCCGGAAAAACTTCAAATGGTACACATAATTTCGAAAGTTCTGAATGTGAAAGTAGACAAAAACAGAAACCCTAAATATACAGCCTAGCTGCAAGTATACCCCTTTCGAGAGTTGCCAAGTCTTCTTAACACCAAACCCTAACCAACCCACAAAGCTTTACAAACCCTAACGCCGAAGAGGGTTCTTGAAGCAATGTCGTAAGGGTTTGTTTTGGAGGGATATATAACCAAAAAAAAATGGTAAGAAAAGATCATACTGGAACTGATTTCCCAGTGAGGGCATCATGAAGATGCAATGAACCATCCTTCAGCAAGTTGACGCTTAGGCTTTTGAATCTCTCTCTTGAGTATTGTCTAGACGCCTTTCTCCAGTCGGTTCCTGCTTTCATCATTGCTACGAATTCATCGTAGTTTATGCGCCCATCCTGGGAAACAAACATCCCGATAACATTCTCAGAAACACGTTCTACGATCCTACATTGACTAAGAATGTGTCACGGTTTGTTTCATATCAGTTTGATCGGTGGTACTGCACAGTTATGGGAATCATATAAGCTAAGATTGCGGGATTGAAAAGAAGGGTATGTGTAAAGTTTGGAATAAACCTTGTCAGTGTCAACTTCACGCATTATGTCATTTAGGACATTGTCGTCTGGTTCGTCTGCTCCATGAGCTAAAGCTTCCTGCAGTTCATCCATTTCGATGTACCCGCTACTGTCTATGTCGAAGAACATAAAAGCTTGCTTGAGATGTTCATCGTTCTCCATCTTTTGCAAGTGGAAAATCACTGCGACGAATTCACCGTAGTCCAGGAACCCATCCCCATCAACATCGGCCTGCATCAAAATTATGTGACATTCAGCTGAGCCAGTGAGGGAGAAAGCTTTTGTCTCTCATTTAGACGACACAGAATAAGAGCCAGATATCGGGAGGTCGTAATGCGGGAGAGGTAATGGGGAAATTACCACTTCCATCAACATTTTGATCTCTGGTTCACCCAGTTGTGAACCGACCTTGCTGAGTCCAGCTCTGAGTTCTGTGTAGGCTATTCTTCCATCATTGTCGTCATCCATCAATGTAAACATGTTCTTGATCACTTCAACCTCCTGAAGGGACAAGTGCTCGGCAATCACCTGGAATCATTACAAGGATTAGACCATTCACAAAACGAATCAATAAATGGACAGAACGTCACCCGGAAAAGAAACACAATGCTTACTCTGAGAGCTTTCTTTTTGAATCTATTCATCACGGAGAACTGCTTCAACCTTGACCTCACGATATCTCCTAAAGGAACATTTGGAGCTTTCTTTGCGTTATGTATCCAAGGGTGCTCTGAAAAGGAGGAAAACAGAGCCCATCAACGGAAAGAATACAAACAAGCATTCTTAACAAAAGTCCAAAGAAAACCGTGAATTCTCGTTGCAAAAATCACCGTCCTAATTCTAGTTAACGTCTGTAATTTTCAGCCCAACACAAGTACAAGCCTTGGAACATAACAACAACTTTACCACGGACTTGCTGAGCAGTCAAACGTTTAGTCGGATCCGGGTCCAACATCTGCCTCACGAGGCTCTTAGCACTCTCCGATATCTGGGGCCACGGTTCTCTCTTGAAATCAAGCACTCCCCTCAAGATTGCAAGGGCAACACCTTGTTCAGTCTCTGCAAGTCCAAAACCCGACATCATTCATCTATCCAACAGCGTTTTAAACTTCTATCTTTGAAGAGCTGAAAATACCCACCGGCCCAAAACGGAGGAACACCGCAGAGCAAGATGTAGACAATCACACCAGCACTCCACACATCAACTTCCGGTCCGTAATTCTTCTTCAAAACCTCAGGAGCCATGTAATAAGGACTTCCTACAATCTCTGTAAATCTCTCTCCTGTATAATCCAAAAATGTTTACAAGCAGATTCAGAACACTAACACGTTGAAGACAAATCTCTTAACACGTGATCTCGTAATGTCCGAGGACAATCACAGCAAGCATAGGCGTAGAACCCTTGAGTGGATTCGGAATCAACAAAACCAGAAAGGAAGTCTCCAGAGTGATTAAAAACGTCCAAAAGTTCAGAGGAACGTCAACACTTTGAACTTTTGAAGACAAGGCTCTTAACAACGTGATGCGGTAATGTCCGAGAATCCACAATTGAATTCAAAGCAGCACATATGTAAAACCCTTGAATGGATTCGGAATCAAAAAACCCAGAAAGGGAATCGAGAGTTACCAGGTTTGAAGAACACAGAGAGCCCAAAATCAATAGCTTTCAGAGCCGAATTCTCCTTCTTATCAACGAATAAGAAGTTTTCCGGCTTCAAATCTCTATGCATAACACCGTTGGAGTGACACATGCTCACGACCTCGGCGATCGTCCTCGCGACGGCCGCCGCCGCGCGTTCTGTGTAATGGCCTCTCGCAACGATCCGATCGAAAAGCTCTCCGCCTGCGCAGAGCTCCATCACCAGATGAACATTTTCGTCGTCCTCGTACGCCGCCTTGAGTTTAACGATGTTTGGGTGGTCGGGGAGCGTCGACATGATCGCGACCTCGCGTCGGACATCCTCGATGTCGATGGCTGTCCTAAGCTTCCGTTTGGAGATCGATTTGCAGGCTAAGACTTCGCGGGTCTCGTGGTCCGTACAGAGGTGCGTGATCCCAAATTCTCCGCGACCGAGCTCGCGACCCAGGGTATATTTTTCGCTGATCTGGGTGTGGTGGCTCACCGGAATGATGTTGTCGAGGACCCGAGCCGGGGCATGCGTCCGAACCGAGATGAATTCATCAAAAGGGTTTGATTTCCGATCGCGATTGTTCTTCTTCTTCGGCTTCTGGGTCGGTTTCGAGTCCTTGGGTTCGAGCTTCACGCACGCGTTACAGTTCCCCATGGCCGGGTCAAACTGAGTAGCAGAAGGAGCAGAAGAAGAGGAACGCAAATAACAACAACAACAAACAAGAAGGTAAGAATGATGGTTTATCTCTTAGGGTTTTTTAAGACGGCGGCGGAGCCGAGACTTCTCGGTGGCGGAGTGGTGTTTCCCGGCGGAGCCGTGAATTGCGCGCGTCGGGTGAAAACGCGGGGCTCGGCGAAAGAGGCCTTTCAAAAATTTCAATTTAATCATTGCTAAAACGTTTATTTAAATCATATAATAATTAAAAAATAGTTGTTTATAATATATTTTAATTTATAACCCATGATGGTTCATCATTAAATGCGTACATATTTTATTCTAATTATGTGATCCATACAATAGATGTTTGGCTGTCACCCCATAAAATATATAATATAGCATGTATTTGTATTCTAGACTGTCTGAAAAACCTGAGCCGTTGATATTATTCAGTTGGGGATATAAACGGCCGGGATGTTGACGGAGGGAAATTTGTCGAAGTTGTTGACCGGCGAAAGTGGATAGGGTGACATTGTCAAAGGTGTGACATTGCTTTCAGTTGGGGGGTCTCAAACAAAACGAAAACGTATATATATTATATTATTTAAATAAATTGTAATGAACACTTGTGAGGGTTTTGCCTCCTTGAGTACATATCCTTTTATTTTGACCCGCTATTTTATAATTTATACATTGACCTTTCATGAATTTAGATTCTCAATTGTTTTGTCCGTCGACCCTAGATTTAGACGTAACTATATTAATAAATAAAAATCACATTTTTCAATTAAAACGATGTAATTATTTTTTAAGAGAATTTAATTTTAAAAAGTGATTTGATATATTTTTTAAAAAGAAATAACTTTAATAAAAATTAAACAAAAAGACTTACGTTTAAATTATTAAACATAAATATAATATTTTATGAATTTTAGTCCATTTCTAGATAAAATTGTATCTTAACTTTGATTTGTTAATAAATATAAGATCTATGTATTTGCCATGTAATTATTTAATTAAGTTGAGATTGTTTTGGAATTTAAAAAATAGTCATATTCTGAATATTTTAGAAAAAACAAGTTTCTCTAAATAAAAGTTTTAGTCCAGCAGGTTTTCATGAAAAATGAATCTAAGATCTCAATCTATTATACATAAAATCTTAGATATAAATATAAAAAATTCAAATTTAATTATGTATAAATTAACTCTAAGTCCAACAAAATCTGGTTCAACTATTTCCAACATCTAGAAGTAAAGACTATGTATCTAAAATTTGTAGATATTCAGGTAACACTATTTATGAAAAATATTTAAATTGATTAATTATATTACAATATACCAGCATGTACAAAATATTGATTTAAAATACTTGAAAAATAAATATTGTGAACGATATTAGTGAAATTATACAAGTTTTAAAATAATAAAGTAAAAATTAATGTAATTTTTCCGTAATTTTACCAATTCCGTTCTTTGTATAGTTTTCTACTTTTCTTTACCTGGTCTTGTATGTATATAAATCCTATAGCAACGACTTTAACTTAAAATATTACATATATAAACAAATAATAATTATTTGGGTGATTTGAGATTTTCTTTTAGTAATAAATATTACTGAAAGGATTTGGTAAAGAGATCGTAAATCATACATATTTGAATTGAATATTATAATTCAAAACATTATAATACATATATATATATTATCTTAAAAAATCTTAAAAAATAAAACTATATTTAAATATGTGATAATATTATATCGTTTTACAAAATAAAAAAAGACCACCTATATTTAGACTGCAATTAAAAACAGGAGAAATGAAAAAGAATTAGGTGTAAACCTTGTCAAAATGAAGAATATCGATAATACTCCTTGACAACATTATTTTTGTTTTTTAAAAAATAGATATTAAAGATTCGAGGAAAACATGAAAATTCCCACTATTGGAAGTCAACACGTGAAATAAACAGCTTCCTTTTCCTTCTTTAGAAAGAAACCTGTCCACGGGTTCACAAGTCTTCATCCCTAACGATCTCTCCGCCTTTATAATTTGAAATGAAATCTTATTCTCTTACGGCCACCTATTATTCAGTGTTTTAGGCTTCGTTTTAGTTTTAGATTGTATAAATCTATCTAAGATTTCGAAAAAATATGTCGTAGGAGGAACAACATTATCATTCAGAATGGAATAAAAATTTAGAAATTAATACAGATATGAAGCTCAGACCATTATGCTCAGTTTAGCCCATGATAAAAGCCCAGTTCGAAAAGAAAGAAGTAAAAGGTTGAAGATCAGAAACAGATTCTTCCATGCCTTTTCTTTCTTTGTGAATTTGTTAGAAGCTTGTTAGCAATTTGTTATTTTTTTGTGTATATAAACACATGTACAAATTGATTTATGAATACATAATTTTTTTTTCTAAAAATCACTGAAATGGTATCGGAGCATTTTCTCTGATTTTACTTTCTCTTTCTTCGATCGATCTTTCGATTGTTTCTTCTTCCAGAAATCCTTTTTCTACCTTTCCTTTTTCGTTCTTGCAATGGCAAATCAGGTTCCTATGATCATTCCTCCAGCATATACGGTTGCTCCTCCAGCCCCGTTCACACCGGATTTTGATAGTCTTTACTATCTCTCTAACTCCGACAATGGTGGAGTGACTCTTGTCACAAAACCGTTAACCGAAGCTGCTGATTTTTTTTCTTGGATTCGTTCTTTCCGTATGGCTCTTGAAGGTCGGAACAAATCGGTTTCGTCGACGATTCTTTACCCATGCCTGCTGAAGACAATCTTGTTCATCGTTTCTGGGTTCGTAATAACGCCATCGTCGGTGGCTGGATTATGAACTCCGTCGCTGAACATATTGTTGGGTTCCCTGCGGGTTCCTAGCATGCGATCTCATCGATCTAGGGTTTGGATTCTAGGTTTCACGCAGCGGAAGGAAAGATCTAAACCTAGCCAAACGTCACACAAAACCAATTGTGCAATAACCCGAACAATCGTGTATATCATCGTGGGATTCGAATACTTACCTCGTTCTTTCAAGATCTGGAAGTATCAATCGATCCAGGGCCTGTTTTAATCACCAAGAGTTGAAAGCACAACTCCTCTACACGTATCCACACCGGCGGGATGAATTCCAACACTTTGGAACGTATCTGCTAGGATTTGTGAAGAGAAAACGATGTCCTTGACTTGAAATCGATATTCCAATCACTAGAACTCAAAATCAAGCTTCTCTAAGCTCTAATGAGTGTCTTGGACGTCTGAGGTTCGTTCTCTAGGGTTTGTGGCAGTTCACTCATTAATTAGGATTGCCCAAAACCCTTAAAACGCGAAATAGGAAATCTGCCCGAAAGTCGGACCGTCCGGTCTAGGTCTGGACCGGACGGTCTGACATTCCACGCGGAACGGACGTTCCGCTTTTCCTCGCAGAACGGACGGTCTATACGCCTGGACCGTCCGGTCTAGGTTTGGACCGGACGGTCTGGTACTCGCGGAACGGTCGGTCCACTCTTCAGCGGAACGGACGGACTGACATGGCTGGACCGTCCGGTCCAGGCCTGGACTGGACGGTCTGGCCGTCTGGAACACTTCCAGCTC